AACTCCTCCGGTTTCATATGCAAAAAAAATTATTGCGCTAGCTCACGTGGTTGCAGAGCTACCGGGATTTAAAAATAGTTACGCAAAACGGAGCGTGCCGCTCTGACCGGTTTTAAAGGGTTAAAGATCAAAGAAAATAAAGTTCATGGCAGCAAATTGCTGTTTTGCTCCTCATCTTCCCTCCAGCTCCTGATTTTCTTTTTCCTAATCTCTGAAACCCTGCAGGAGACGATCTCACATCTGAGTGAGAGAAATGACACACACATGCACACACGCACGCACACACACACACACACACACACGCACTGTGTCTGAGCAGCTCCGTGTCCGGAGGTGTGAGCGTCGGGCTGTTCTTCTCGGGGATTAGGCGGTTAATCCTCTCTGCTCACATTCCAACACAAACATCAGTCGGTAAGAAGCTCAGACCGACTTCACAATCACACACCTGCACCTGTCGCTGCCCGCCGTGCCATAGCTCTTACTCTTACATTACCTGTGTTTTAAAACCCAACTTTAATAAATCAAATCCTCACATCACTTCGCACAGGGACGAGAAATTTATGCTCCCAGAGGAGCCACAATCAGAGACTCTCTGTTTAACGCTTCTGCACGATGCTGCTGTCTGATACCTGTCAGTGACAAATTCATTTATTTTGATTTATAAACTCTTGGTCTTGCATATCTCCTGTGTTCCTCTCAATAAACAAAGAGGTTTCCATCATGAAGTGATGCTTAACATTCAGCAGAAGTTGAAGTGAGGGATGCTCAGGAATAGTTAATAGTTATTTATCTCCTGCTGGACCACGGCGCTGTGCAGCTGAATAAAAAATAAAAGTATGAAAATTAAGCTGAGACGGTAACGTGAGTCGTGTTAGGGAGGCAGGAAGTGCAGGAGACAGAAAAGCGGAGGACGAGATAGCGCAGGAGGACAGATAAGGCGGGCAGGTATGCAGACGGGTTAATTGGCCCGGGAGAGAGAGGCCCTGATAACGGCTGATGACAGCAGAGCAATGATGAATGAGCCTTCATCCTCTCAGCGTCCCACGGTTAACGTGCTGAAGGGGAGAGTTTAGATAACGGGATGTTCAGCCCTTCGTCTGTTTCCTGACTCATAAACATCTGCACATGGTTCATAAATCCCGATGATGGTGACGTCTCTGTGAGGTGCTTGGCTCAAAGTGACACTGAGCAGGCTGTTAGAGACCGGAGTCAGCTGCTTTCACACCGACCGTGGGAAAAGCAGCACACACAGGGATTTAAAGGATGTGAAGCTTCCAGGAATAAAACCTCAGAGAAGACGGCCTTCATGCTGGATGGGAGTTGCTGACATTTTAGCTTTGAAATCTTTCTGCTTCAACACGCCAGAATTCAAGGTAGAAGGTGTCACTCAGTTTTAATATCACCAGAGATGGTTACTGCCCATTACAGTAATTACAATTACAGATCACATATAATTAAATTTTTGCTTGATGCATAAAGTTAAAAGATTAAAACTAATAAAACAAATTTTAAAAAGAGACTTTTTCATTTGATTACATTTTATGTGATGGATTATGCAGAAAAAGTAGAATTGGGCTGAAAGATCTATCGCTTTATCACCTATTCAGGTTGTAAATCATGTTTTTAAAAGGTAACTAAGTAACTAATTACTTTTAAAAATAAGTAATCAGTAAAGTAACTGGATTACTTTTTGGTGGAAGTAATCAGTAATTAGTTGCTGATTATTTTTTTCAAGTAACTTGACCAACACTGAATATCACAGCCACAAACTCTGAAGTCCACGAAAATGTACAAAACACTCAAAGCAAGCTGTGCTCAGACTATTTTCACATCACTCTTATTCCCAAAGATGATGGATGGATGGATGTTGGATGGACGGATGTTGGATGGATGGATGGATGGATAGATGTTGGATGGATGTATGGATGGATGTTGGATGGATGGATTAAAGGATGGAAGGACGGACGGATGGATGGATGTTGGATGGATGGATGGATGGATGGGTGGATGGATGGACGGATGTTGGATGGATCGATGGATTCATGGATGCATGGATAGATGGATGGATGGGTGGATGGATGGATGGGTGGATGGATGAATGGATGGCTGGACTGATGGACGGATGGATGGACGGATGTTGGATGTTAGATGGATGGATGGATGGATGTTGGATGTTAGATGGATGGATGGGAGGATGGAGTTGGATATTGGATGGATGGATGTTGGATATTGGATGGATGGATGGATGGATGTTGGATATTGGATGGATGTTGGATGTTGGATGGATGGATGGATGTTGGATGTTGGATGTTAGATGGATGGATGGAAGGATGGATGTTGGATATTGGATGGATGGATGTTGGATGGATAAAAAGATGGATGGATGGATGTTGGATGTTGGATGGGTGGTTGGATGGATGGATGGATGGATGGATGAATATTGGATGTTGAATGGATGGGTGGATGGATGTATGGATGTTGGATATTGGATGGATGGATGGATGGATGTTGGATGTTAGATGGATAGATGTTGGATGTTAGATGGATGGAAGGATGGATGTTTGATATTGGATGGATGAATGTTGGAAATTGGATGGATGGATGGATGGATGATGGATGATGGATGGATGGATGGATGGATGATGGATGATGGATGTTGGATGTTGGATGTTGGATTGATGGATGGATGATGGATGGATGGAAGATGGATGATGGATGTTGGATGTTGGATGTTGGATTGATGGATGGATGATGGATGGATGGAAGGATGGATGTTGGATATTGGATGGATGGATGATGGATGATGGATGGATGGATGATGGAGGATGGATGTTGGATGTTGGATGTTGGATATTGGATGGATGGATGATGGATGATGGATGTTGGATGTTGGATGTTGGATTGATGATGGATGATGGATGGATGGAAGGATGGATGTTGGATATTGGATGGATGGATGATGGATGATGGATGGATGGATGGATGGATGATGGATGATGGATGGATGGATTGATGGTTGGATGTTGGATGTTGGATTGATGGATGGATGATGGATGGATGGAAGGATGGATGTTGGATATTGGATGGATGGATGGATGGATGTTGGATTGATGGATGGATGTTGGATGGATGGAAGGATGGATGTTGGAAATTGGATGGATGGATGGATGGATGGATTGATGGATGATGGATGGATGGATGGATGGATGGATGATGG